GCCCGATCTGACGGAAGCCTGGAAGTGAGTGCGCGAGGTGGTTATAAAAGGCTCCTACCCCCCAGGAACGAGGTATGCTAACTTTTGTGCTATCTGGTCTATCTTGCCTTTGAAAGACTCTAACTTGAGCTTTGGAGCCCTTACGCCGGGTTCTCCCCGGAGCTTCTCTTCTCCTTCCATTTCAGGTCCCTGCCATTCGGTTCGGAGGCAAGATCGCTGACAGCTAAGATCGGCCGGATTGTGCATCATCATATATATTATAAATTAATATAATTTATTTATAATATATATTATAAATATCAAAAAACCGAAAAATAAAAAATCAAATCATTCAATCGATTAACAGATTGGTTTCAGTTCACGATTTTCCAAAATCTGATGATATTGGTTTCATTTGAAAAATAGGCCTACAGTTTGGTTAATTGAACCATGAGACCTCTAAATCTTGTTGTATCGATGTATATTGTAAGATATATGTACTAAAAGGATCAAGTGCAATGTCTTAAAAACTAACCCGGAATTGAAACCTTCCTAGCCACCGGTTTTTGGGTCAATAGTTTGACTGTCTAGTTCAAATGAATGGCTTATTCTAACAACAAAAAAATCAAAAAATTAAAATAATAATAATATTTAAAATACAAAAACTGTCGAACGGGTCAAGTGGGTTAGCAATTTGACTGCCTGGGTCAACAGGTTATTGACCAATTCAACGGTTTTTGGCCGAGGACTAGGCTTGGGGTAAAACGGAACCGGTTACTTGAACGATTTCCGGCCCGAACTGTCCAACCGTCTAGGTCAATGACAATTCGAAAACATTGATAAGTGTCATTTGCTTTGAGAAGTGGAATCTACATGTAAAGACTACCTCAAAAGCTCCCAAGTAATATTCGATTAAGTTCTTGTGAAGCTTTCATCTTCTCCAAAGTAGCTAAAGAAATTATAATGACCAAGGTTTTAAAAACCGACCAAAAAATGGAACCACTTTGACCACCAATTTTCAGGTTAGTGGTTGAACCGTCCAAGACGAACAATTCAACTTGTAATTTTAAAATTTTCAGAAATACGTTCTAGATTCATATTCTAATTTATAATTTTTGTTCCTACAGTTCTATTAAAATTGATGTTTGAAAGCTTATGCTGATAGATTATGAGTAAGGCTGCAACTTGGGCCCAAAAAAGTCGGGTTGGGTTGATGCTCGAGTTAGGGTTAAGGTTGAAATATATGAACTCGACTTTACTTCGGGTTGGGTTAGGGTTGACCCCTTGGGCAACCCGACCCAACCTAAACCTGACTCTAGAGTACATATGATATATAAATATATGTTATATATATATATATATATATATATAATATAATATATCATACATTGATTTTTTAGATGCATGATAGTTGTATAGCCCCCACCACACACTATCATTTATTTCTTTTAAGATAATCACATCACTTAATTCTAATTGAAAATACTAAAACCTTAATAACATATTTTATGTTTTTTTAATATTTTATTCTTTATTTCCTCTGTGTTGTTTGCTACTCATAGCTTGCTGCCTATAAAAGATCTATTATAAGTCATAACTCATAATAAACTATAGTCATTTCAAACACATTTTTTTTCCCGAATTTTGTACTTGGAGAACCAATAAAAATATCAACAAACATAGGATTAATATATGTAGTGAAAGTTGAGTTAAGATTTTAGATTAAGAAGTTCTATAGGATTTTAAGGGATGGGAAGAAGGTTGGGTTGGGCCCAACCTAAAGTTGACTTCAGGTTGGGTTAGGGTTGGAGGTATTTAGTTAGGATTAGAGGGTTAGGGTTAGGGCTGGTCTCAACCCGACCTAACCCGGTCCGACTCTCAGCCCTAATTATGAGATGTGAGAGCTGATAGAGAAAAAGACCATTAGAATGTTAGAATACAATATATATATATATAGAGAGAGAGAGGTTGATTGATAATGCCCCAACTTGTATATATGAAAGAAAAATTTTCAAAATAGTTAACATTTTTTGACAAAATCAACATTTTTCATGAAAAGCAATTCAACACAAAATCAAACTTGGAACTATGATCATTTCTCGTGTTGAACGGTTTGACCATCCGACTCGATCCGATTTATAAAACAGTGAAGGTGATTAACCAAAGTCCTTAGCTAAGAAAGCTTTAACTTTTTTAATGTGAAAGTCGGATGGGAGGTCCTATCTTTGATAGGGGTGCAAATGAATCTGATTGTTATTTGATCGAATTCAGATCACCCTTATTCGAATCTTTGGATCGGATAATAGAATCACCCCTATCTGATCTAATATATATTATCTATTTATAAATATAAATATATATATGTTATTTATTTATTTATAAATTCGTTATATTATTTATTTTTTTATAAAATATATATATATATAATGAAAATAATTAAAAAATACTTATATTTTTGTTTTACTTTATTTAAATTAATATATTTTATTTTTTTAATAATTTATTAATTATTATTATTTTTTTAAGTTGCATCGGATAGAATCTGAAAATCCGACTTACCAATAGATTCGACATAAACAGTATCGTCCCTAATCTTTGACCACTTGACCAGATTACGTACAAATAAAGTCATTTGCCCTAGAGCTATCAAACTAGTTGGACCAGGCCCAGGCAGAAAATGATAACCCTATGGACCTTAACAAGTAACAAGATTGGGTCATACATGGAAAGAAGGGCAGATGTAGGGCTCGATATTATTGTCTTCTTATAAATGGACTCCATCTGTAGTTAGACCGGCCACATCGTTCTCTAACGTGGCAGAAATTGATGGCTTGTCTTGTCTAGTTCACTAGTTCAATTGCTCTAATAGCTAGCCATATTCTCAAACGCTACCAAACATACATTTCATTTCCTAATGGGTCCACGCCAAGTTTTTCTCCAGTAATAAATTAGCCTTTATTGCAGCCACATGATTCATTGTATTGTTTCCTCTTCATCTGCTCGAGTAAAATTACATTTACACATCCTTCTCCTGCCCACGTGAATCGCAGCCACACGTGAAGAATATATCATCCTCTGGATAATATTATGCAGGGAGATGTTCCCAATTCACGGGTAATATAATGTGGGTAGACGTGGAGAGAGTTCTCGTGTGCAAGAGATCCCGTCTCCAGCCTAGCCTTAAATATAATTAATAGGTATTATTTTTCCCACGTGGCAAGAATCTGGTCAAGTCCATTGGTTAAGCTGCTCAGAGCTAAACACCTGTTTTCAAGGAGCTTTTATCTACCGTGCATGTCAAACTCAACTACAGATAGAGATGAAGTGAAAATTATGTTTTATCCCACTGACCACAATTAAGAAAAAGAAAAACTTGCCTCCACAGGGAGAGAATCTCCCATCCGTGAACTAGGAAGAAGAAACAAATCGGTTAACTCTGATCTTGCTTGCTTGCTCAACCTGAGCAGTGACGCAGTCAAATCCGCAGCCGCACTGCGGACTCTCCACAAAGTTATCGATATCGAAATCAGCAGAAGCGATCCCCACCGAGAAGTCGAGCTTGTCGCCACTCCGAGTAACCTCAATAATGTCGAGCCACAGAAAAAGCACCTTCACGCTCACGCCCTTGAGGTTCCTGAGTTTGTTCTGCGAGATAACGCCGGTGATGGTGGATTTGTACCTGAGCTTGTAGGAACCCTCAAGGGAGAAAGCACAAGTACCATTCAGGTAGGCCGAGAATTTTCCGGTGGATGTATCCAGATCGTAGCCCAGAATACCCTTTGGGAGGATACCCACCGGGAAGCCATATCCCTGGAGGACTTGGTATGCCGTCAGTGCATGGTCGGCAGCCGTGTGGGTCGAAACTGAACAAACAAAGATGAGACAGGCGGCAAAGGCCGTCAGAGATGTGTGCTTTGGGGTGAAGGACCAAGCCATGATTCGTCGCTCCTCCTCTTCCTCCTTTATCCTCCGCAAAAGAAGAAGAAAAAGTACTTAAAAGACTAAATAGGAAGTAAGATGAGCAAAAGCAGCAGAGATGTATGCGATCTGATTAGTGATTTGGCTGTGGAGTTTGGACTTTGGAGGAGGTATCTAATGGCTCCAAGCGTCCCACTATTTCTACTATTTATTTATTCAGTGTTTTTGTTGGTTTGGGCGGGACTATATATCATAATATCAAGCAGATGCCGGTGGGCATTTAAAATTGAGTCCGGATCTCATCATCTTAGGGAAGATATTCTCAATTCATGGGGATAGTCTGTTGTGGGTAGACTGATCAAAGTTTGTGGGGATGAGAGATTTGAAGTCTTTATTAAGAGAAATTTTTTTATTAATATTCTGTTATATGGGCTCTTTTAAATTTAAAATACTATAATTTATTATTCAAAATTTTAAAACGTACCAATCCAGTATTTAAACCAACTGTTAATCAGTCTTTGAAAAGACATAAATACCATTCAAATATCATCTAATTTTTAGTCCCAAATCATTTTCTATTGTATTCAAGAAATATGGGATCACATCTTAGTGGCATTTTGGTAACTTCGACTTTCTCGTACTAAATTAATATGTTTTGAAAATTTCGATATTTAATTATAACATTTTAAAGTTGAAAGACCAAAAATGGCATTAGGCCCAATGGTACTAATCCAGAAATTTTCATTTTATTAAAGAAAGTAAGCTTCGACGTGGCTACATCTAAAAACAGGGGACGTAGCAGTAGTAAGTGGTTAGTAACCACTTTAGTAGGTGGACACGTGGTGGGCCTCTTACATCTCAAACAGTAAGAGCAGCATACCTAACTTGTTCAAAAGGATTTTCATAGAACAACGGTACCAAGAATACAGTCTACAGACCACAGATATCTCAGATTCTCAGTTTCAGTATAATTTATTTTCCTTACACCTATCAACTTTGATATCAATGCACAAATTTGTTTTCTTTACACCTATCACCTTTGGTATCAATGCACGTACTTGTTTTCCTTACACCTATCACCTTACCTTTGGTATCAATGAGTATAGACCAGAGTTATCCTAAATGAGTGGACCACATTGACAGAAACTCAATGAAGAACATTAAATGAAAGGGCAAAAGACTTGACCTAAAAAAGGATTGATTTTTAGAATTTGACTTAAACCTACCATAAAATTTTAAAATAGACTTAAATACTTTGTGAAATAAACCTTATGGTTTAATTTAAAATTTCTAAAATAATATTTTGCCTTTGTATGTTTTTTAACAAATGATAGCTTTGATCTTTTTGGTAGCATGGATTATGACTGATGGTGTATGATCTAGTAGCTCCTTGCTGGAGGACAGTTCAGACATCGAACTAGATAGGTTATTTGGTCGAGTTGAAAGGAAAGAGAGAAAATATCAAAATATCTAGATTATTTTATCTGGTGTGGGCACTCCGATGCTTAAGTTAGCGAATTGGAGTTTTCTGAGAGATATAAAGCAAGAGAGAGCTATAGAGCTTGAGTGCTAAATTGTATGTCCTTTATGAGGTTGGAGGTGAGTCCCTTATATAGGCGAGTTGTCGTGAGAACCACGAAATGCGTCCGAGATCACTGACCCAACTAGTTCAGAATGATTTCACGCCTAGAAGTGCACTCCGTATAGGTAGGTAACGTTTATCCAATCCCGCCCAAAGCAGGCGGGGTGATAATCAGCTCTTCCAACGTGGCATCACGATTCCAAGGAATTTAGAGGCGATAGTCCACTTAAGGGGGATGTCACTCGGCACATCAGGCAGGTCGCTAACCAGAGTCAGGTCAGATCAGTGGAAGCAAATCACCTCTTATGCCAACCTGAGGTCTTGCCTATCTGTTCGTAGTTTGGCCTACTGGGGTGGTACCGAAGTCATCGATGCAATTGTAAAGTGTCTAAGGTGCTCTTGGGGTCTGCTTACATGGTGCCGAGGTGTCACTCCGCTATTCTACATTGCCACGTGTCGTGATATTATTGAAGGACCAAATTACCCTTCATCAATTGCCCCCCACTCCCAAGTCCAGCATGATCAGTCTAGAGAGAGAGTAGTATTAAGACGAGGCGATTTGGTCTGAGTTCTGTCCTCGATTGTGGTTCGACTAATGGCTCGAGATCGGCTTGGTTCAATGGTCCAACTTAGGCACAATGTAGTATATCGGGGATGTATGGACGCCACGTAACCATTAGGTCACGTAGACGAAAAAAATATGCTAAATTGATTTCTCCTTGGAATACGAACTATCGCATCCTTGTGAATCATTGGATCCAACTGATCTCAACCGTCCATAGTTCAGATCATCCATCTTTAAATAGGACCCTCAAAAGCCCATTTTTCTTGTCCCTATATTTGGAGTTCTAGTGAGATCACAGAGCTCAACGTTGTCGGAATTATCGGTGAGGTTGATTTATTTGTCCTAGGTGAGTCATCTCCCTTAGTTCTGTCGGGGAAGAGAAGGGTCCATCCTTCCAAGCCAAGGAAGGGACCTCGGCTCAAGACTGACAAGGTTCTCATAAGAGGGACTCATCTTCCCGTAGGGCTAAAGCATTGGACTAGTTCAGTGCCACCGAGCTCTTTGTTAGGAACGTCTATAAGCTCGTAGCTTGATACAGGATTCTGAATCAATTCAGATGTTTCCTTCCCCTTGGGCAGTATCCATGGGAGCATGAAGAAGATGAGGTCACTGTCTTCGAGGAGGCCCTAAAAGCGGGTTTTTGGTTACCCTTCATCCACTTATTCCCATGGTGCTGAACTATCTGCGCCACTAGATGGGTCCGCTCATTGACTATTTTAACCACGGGACCTTACCTGCAGATCGCAACGCAGCTCGATGGGTAGAGCGGCAATCAACTCGTTGTGTAATCATTGGCGAGCAACTATATCGCATGTCGTTCATGCTCCTCTACTTGTGCCCAATTGAAGCAAACCAGGTGCTATGTGAGATTCATGAAGGTCTCTACGAAAGACACTTGTGTGGTAGGGCGCTCGCCCAGAAAGTGCTACGAATAGGCTACTATTAGTCTACAATGAAGGCAGACCTGAGATACCACTGGAATTAGTTAGGAAGTGCGACAAGTGCCAACAACATGCTAACATACCACATCAGCCCACTACTGACCTGAGGTACCTTACCAACTCATGGCCATTCGCACAGTGGGTGGAAGCCAAGCCGTTGCTATCCATCACAACTCGGAACAATAGCATCGTCTATAGATTCGGACTCCCCATGGTATGGATTTCGAATAACGGGAAACAATTCGAAGGCATAAATTTTCAAAATTGGTGTATCGAGATGGGAATCAAGCAAAATTTTACTACAATAGCTCACCCTCAAGCAAATGGTTAGACCGAAGTGACAAATAGGGCGACACTCCATGGACTCAAAGCTTGACTCTCCCGAGTTAAGAATTTGTGGGTGGATTACCTACTTAGTGTCATTTAAGCTAACCGAACTACATTCAAGATGGTGACCGGCGAGACTCCTTTCAAGATGGTTTGGATTACTGATTTTTTAGAGGATTCAAATCCAAAACAATTGGGTGATGTTCAAAGCCCCACCTCAAAAAATATCTGAAGGGACAAGTTTGGGAATCTCTCATGTCCAAAACAATTGTCGTAGGATAGGTGGCCATCCGGTTGGTCAATAGCATCTATGTAGGAATCTCTCATGTCCATCTTAGTTGAGACTTTAGATTGACGGTAAGAGTCAAGCAAGCATAACTAGGAAAATTAGTGCCTTCAAAAGATACCAGCAAATCTTCATGGCCAATGCTCCTACCAAGCGAATGAATCCTAGAATACATTTTCTTGAAAGTCCAGAAAATAAAATCAATAAAACTAACTTATAATGATAAAAGAACAAAAAGTAAATAGAAATTTTAGATAAAAAAAGTCTAAACACTGATTTCTACTCGTTTTTTTCGGTAAGAAGAAAACTCATTCCATAAAAGGATCAAAAGGTCGATCTTGAACAAAAAGATGAAGAGATTGAACAACATCTAAAGACAATTCTGTAGGAGGAACTCCCCACCCACTCATCTTTTTTACAAACTCGGCTTGCAAGGAAGTGAGCTATAGCATTCTGAGATCTATGAAATACATTTCAAAGAGATAGATGAATAAACACCCATTTCCCGTCTGTACTCAATTTGGGCTCACTTAAACTTGGACATGACCCCTCTCACTCTAGAGAGAGAGAGAGAGAGCTAATTCCAGCCGCAGAGAAAGAGATTGAGGGGGAAAGCTATCTCCGATTCTTGTGATTGTCCTTCAAAAATGGAGATCTTGGACGCTTCTCGGCAACTAGACTCGGAGGAAGAGATTCCAGAAAATAGCTTTCGTATAATTCTATTAGTTTTGTGATAAACAACAAACAAGGGTTGAGACTCGAAACGTTGAGTCTGCCTGAGGAAGAGATTCCAAAACGGGTTGAGGCCTGAGATGTTGAGTCCGCGTAAGGAAGAGATTCCAGAAAATAGGTTAAGTGCTTACCGGCTTTCGTAGAGTTCTGTTAGGTTTGTGATAAATAGGAAACAGGGGTTGAGACTTGAGACATTGAAACGCCTCTACCAAACCAGATTGAAGAAATTTGAGAGATTAATGTCTCCTATTGTTGTTATGAAATTGGGTTGGATTGCCGAGTTATCAAGAGAGAGAGAGAGAGAGGTGGGTTTCTCTCGCTTTTGGTTTTTCTTTGATGAATTTTTCGGATGGGCTTGTTGGATTAGAGCGGTGGGTTCTCTCTTGCTTTCGGCTTTTCTGGCTTTTTTGGATGAATTTCAGATGGGCTTAGTGGATTAGTGTTGTGGGGTTTACTTTGGTTGTTGGGCTGGGTACGTTCTGGACAGTTCATCTATTTATGTTCATGCTTTGGTTTTTAGTTGAAATAAATTAAGATGTACTTACTAATTTACCCATTTTCATAGTAATGTGACATTCTCAGAAATTCTAAACACTTCAATAACATAATCTGTTGGCTCCCAACAGCTAAAATTTTTTCCAGTGTGATGGGTTTCTCGTGCTTTTGGTTTTTCTTTGATGAATTTCAGATGGGCTTAAAAAACGCTGAAGTTTTTTAATTCTTAAACTCTCGAGTTTTACATCTTATTTCAGATTGGGCTTTTGCTTCCTGTTACT